TGTGCGCCGCCTCGGGCCGCTGCTGCTCGACCCCAGCCTGGCCGTGAGGGAGACGGCGGCCGGCGCGCTGAGGTGAGCCGGGGGCGTTCCGGGGCGGTGCCTGGGATCCGGGCGGCACGGCGGCCGGCCGGCGCCTTCTGAGTGCCGCGCACCGTCGCTTGTCCCGTCTCGTCCGCGCTGCCAAGAAGTGCCAAGGGCCTCCCATTTGCAGAGGGGGGATATGAGCCCAGGCTCCAGACTCCCGAGGCCCCCGTGACCCCCCAGACCACACACATCCCTGTGTCCTCGTGGCTGCTCGCCTGCAGCAGCCGCCCGCCGGGCGTCCTCCGCCCAGGGCCTGGCGCACGTTGTCCCCTCTCCGAGAACCCTCCTTGGAGTCCTGAGGTTCGAGGAACTCCTCCAGTGTATGTGCCAGGTGTTCTAGGTGCAAAATCTAGAGGATTTTGAGCAGGCGGGACAGTGGTTAAGACAGCCGAGATCCCTGCCTTCACAGACCCCATGGTGACGAGGAGGCAGACAGGAGACTAGTAAACAGGTAAAACATAACGTTAGATGGTGATAAGTGCTATGGAGAAAACCAAGAGCGTGATGAGTTGGGGGTGGGGGGTTTTGAAGTTGGGTGATCTCTAGAAGACATTTGTGAGCTGAGAGCTGATGGGTGAGACAGCCAGACGTCGAAAAACAGGGGAAAAAGCATTCCTGACAGAGGAAACAGCGAAGAAGTGAGGCAGTAAAGGGCTTGGATGGTTAAAGAACAGAAAGGTTATGTGGCTGAGCAGAGTAGGGGGCGGGATATTACAGGAGATGAGGCTGGAGAGATGGACTAGGACTCCATGGTGTAGGGATAAAGGACCTGTTCTAATCAGGAGTAACATCTCATTTACTTTGGAAAAGACCACTGTGGCGGCTGTGCAGAGAATGGACTGTAGAGGGGGCAAGAGTAGAAGTTAATATTTGTAGTTCTTATAGCTCTGTCTATATTTATTATGTTTCATTCATTCATTTGGCAAATATATATTGAGTGCCTGCTGTGCACCAGGCAACCGTTAGGCTGTGGGCATGTGATAGTGAGCAAGACGGACATAATTTCTGTCCTTAATGGATCTTACTGTATTGAGGGAGACAGGCATTAACCAAATAATCACACAAGTGTATAATTACAACTAATGATAATTACAAAGGATGCTATGAAAGGATATAACTGGGAGTTCGGGGAGGAATACCTTAAGGAAGTGATGTTTGAGATGAGATCTGAGGGATGAGTGGGGATTACCCACTTGGTGGGGGAAACAGCTTGTAGAATGCCCTACCATTCCCCCTGAAACACACACACTGGGAGCTCCTGGAAGATTGTGAGGCATCTTCTGACTTGTCTTCATATCCTCAGTGCTTAGCACAGTACTGTGCACTCAGAAGGCAAGCAATGTCTTCCCAATTAAAATTAAGTTTAGTCTGGGTTGCTTCAGGGGGTGTCATTCTCAGTAGCCTCACCCTTGCTGCCCTTGAAGTCTTGATTCCAAGAAAAGGTCCCTTCAGATAAGATTGGGCTGTGATTTATTCACGGTAAATAGCGAAAGTCTCCTCCCCTCTTCCTTCCCTATAGCCCCGCACCTGTGTACTGTCTCAGACTTCAGAACTAAGTTGTCACGTGACAAAGTCATTTGTTTACATCATGTACAGCAAGGATCAGAACAGATGGAAATCTGTGGATTGGTTCTGCAGCATCTTACAGAAATCATAAGCAATTTCATCTGGTGAACCTTAAGTATGGTTAGAAATAGAAAAATTTGAGAGCTGAATAGTGTTTTGTGACATGTGATCTGGAAGTAAAACATTGTAAACTTCTTGTTTAGAAACCTCAGTGCTTGTGGAGGCTTTGACATTTGTGACGACATGGTGACTAAGGATATCATGACTCCTCTGGTGGCACTGCTAAAAGAGGTATGTGGCTGTTACAGTATCTTCCTGGCTGTGTTTAAATGTAGCTTTTAGTATCCAAACTTAGATAGGTTGTTTCCTTTTGGTTTAGTGCTTTGGTGTTGGTTGCTTTGTCTTCCCTCAAAACATCCTATGGGAATTTTATTTCTTTTCCTGGCAACACAGATCTCTCATCATTGATACCAGTCTCGCCATTATTTTGTTCTTACTACTTTTATTTATATGCTAGTTGGAAAAGACCTTCCTAAAACTATGGACTGACTGCTATAGACCCTGAACTTCCTACAATAAAAATAATTAGTATTTATTGATCGCTTATTTGTGTGCCAGGTGCTGTGTTTTGTTTTGTGTGTTATTTCATTTAATCCTCACAGCAGTCCTGTTTAGCAGGTATTATTATTCCTCTTTTACAGATGAGGAAGCTGAGACGCAGACATTAGGAATTTGCTGTGAAGATTACATTAAGTTCTCAAATTTAATATCATGCCAGCCTATTGCGTGACGTAGTTCAGGGATTAAGGAGCTGTCTCTCTGGAGTGCCTCTCGTCCACTGTTCTGTGTTCACGGGTGATTTTCACTTAAGGCTGTATAAAGAGTATCCAATTTTGATGAGAGGCATCAGTCTTGTTCCCTTTAGAGCAGTGATTCTGCTGGGGGTGACTTGCCCCTCAGGGGACATTTGGCGATGTCTGGAGCCATTTTTGGTTGTCACTGCTTGGAGGTCGGGGTTGCTACTGGCATGTAGTGGGTAGAGGCCAAGGATGCTGGTACGTATCCTGCAGTGCACATGACAGCCGCCACAACAAAGAGTCATCCAGGCCAACACGTCAGTAGTGCTGAGATTGAGAAGCCTGCTTCAGAAGGTGTGTGGGTTATGCTAGGGGGCGGCACTGCAGAGCGGGTCAGAGCACCAGCTTTGGAGCCAGCATGCCTGGATCTGAATCCCAGCTTCACCATACCTTCAGCAAGCACTCTGTAGCTCAATATCCTATTTGTAGAGAGACTGGGGATAATAGTTCATCTACTTCATAGGTTTGTGGTGAGGGTTAAATGACTTGATATATGCAAAGTGCTTAGAAGAGTGCCTTGCTCGTAGAAGGTCCTGTGTAGATGTTAAGTCTTACTATGTGGTACCTTTCTCTGCCTTATATACTGTCTTTATCACATTAGATAAAATAGTTTGTATTTATTTTACATTTTCACTTAAAATGTGAAATACTTTATATCTAGTTTGTACAATGATTTGTGAACCTCTGTTGTCTGTATTTCTTGCCAAAAAAAGAACAGGGTTGTGAGAACTGTACCGCTTACGAGAATTTGATTGGCTCGTTAACCACTGTCATTTCTGATGTTTAGTTTTTGTGATTCTTCACTATCATTAGCCTTTTTTGTTTAATTATTCTTTTGAACCAGGGTGCTAATCATGATATTTGGTTACAGTGTAGCGCTGGACTGGATTCAAATGAGACGTCTCCGGAAAAAAAAGATCGGAGCAGAAGTTCTGTTGAGAACATAGCCAATGAGGCCGTGAACGTGCTGTGGAATATATGGTAAGATGCTTTCCAAATGCAGCGTCCTGCGGCAGGACTCCTCGGGCTGCTACTCTTTCTGCTACACTGCAGAGTTCTCCTTCCTGGGCCTGTAAATCGGTGATGCTAACGCTTGGTAGGAGGTAGTCTCAGGTGACCTAAGGTCAGCCTTCCTTCCCAAGCCCTTTCCTCACAGCATCACTACGTCTTTTTTTTTTCGCTTTACAACTCTTCTCTCCAGTCATAGCTGCTGACAAGAATTAGAGGAATCATGGCTGTTAGCACCTACTGCAGCCCGCTCCTCCCCCTCCGCCCGCATACCTTAAGTGGCAGTTGTCTTAAAACACCAGCTGCTCTGTCCTGGCCTCTGGAATGAGAGAGGGCCACACACGGGGGCTGGTGCTCTCCTGCTCGGCCCTGGCAGTTGCTGTTTGGCAGCGAGGTCAGTGCCGGAGAAGAGCTCCCCAGAAGGAAGAAGGCCAGGCTCCCTTCCATGATGTAGCAGTGAGAGGGTAGAATGGACCTGCCATTGGAAGTGGAAAGGGCTAGAAACACTACCTGGATTTATTTTTTTTCTACCCCGTTTTGTGTCCCACATTTCTAACAAGATTCTGTGGTAGTTCCTTATTTTCACTCAGCAGCGATGATAACTTCTGACCTAAAAGCACAGGTATTTCTTAGAATACAAGATTAAGTTGGATCCTGAAAAGCTGCCTACATAGCAATCCGACTTGCTTACGATTTCGTTTTATACTGATGGGTACATTCCACCAGAAAAAGTGGAGCGATCAGATTTGAGGAAATGGAATGTGAGCAAGCTGGTGGGTGCTGTTTTTCTGTGCAGTAGATAACTTTAACTTATGTAAATTGTTGAACTTGGAAGTTTTTTAAAAATTTCTTTGAAAGGAACCTGAAAAGGTGATCTCTATAGTAATCTCTCTTTCCTGAATGCCTGTGAGCCCTATGTGTATCATTTCCAGTTATCACAGCTCTTAACAGTTTTGTTTCATAGTTTATATTTTACATTATATTTACATATGTATGTATGTTAAATTATCTTAACATGTAGATGCCTCATCTTCCTGACTATACCTGACTTTATTGTGGGCTTCCTAAGCGTAGGCTCATAGCAGTATTGTGGTAACTGGATGGGTGGGTGGATGGATGGTTAGATAGAAAGAAAATAGTTTATCTTTAGATAACAGGATTGAATTTAATAATTTATCCAGCTCTGACAGCTATTAGTGTGTCATGTGGATACGTGGTATGTGTGGAGGAATACTTTTCTCTGGAAACATGGATAAAATTATGATAATTAGCTCAGTTTACCCTGTATTTAGTATGTATGTTTATTAATGATGTTGATAAATTAATAACAATACTGATTCTTTTATTAAAAGGTAGTGTAACTTCAAAAATATTATAGTAATTTCTCTGTTGAAGACTATACATTCTGTTTGTTGAAATTAGCAGTTTAGAAGGAATGAATGAAATTTTAATTTTACTTTTTTTAAAATTTGTGCCTTTTGTGTGATAAGTATGGAGACCTTTTATCCTTACTTTAACTTATTATTACTATAGTATGGTGAAAAGAACAGTAGGCTGGACCTAAGGAACCACCACTAACAAAATGTGTGATCTTTGGACAGACCACTTCACCTTTTGGGGCCTGGGTTCCTCATCTATAAAATGAGGAGTTGAAGTCAACGACTCCTAAGGTCTCTTCCAGCTCTAACCTTCTGTAAGGAAACTGGCCTGCGGGTAAAGAGATTGGTTAAAAGATCCTACTGTGATAGAAATGAAAACACAGACAGCTAGTTGTGTTCATGTACAGTGAATATGAGGGGGCGTTGGTTTCTTCATCTATAAAAATGGCGGGTGTTTGACTCCAACTCTTTGGTTCTTTTATAAAGCCTAATTTATTTTTTTGTGAATTTCTGTCGTTGATTTCTCAATATTAAAATGTGAATAGTAAAACTCTTTTTTCCCCCTTCAATTTAGTGAATGCAGTAGTAGAGCAGTGTCTATATTCACCAAAGAAGGGTGTTTGGAGATTGTATTAAAGTATTTAAGTAGGTTTTCCACCAATGTTGACCTGGCTATTTCAGTAGGTAAGTGAAGAAAAGGTGATAATTTATTAAGTACGTGTGGCCTTATTCAAAAATTGTTACTCAGACATAGCATGTTTATTCTACAGGAGTGATTTTTTTCTCATTGTATGTAAATACATAGCTGAGTTCTGTTTGTTCTGAATCTTTTAAAATCTGTGATTAAAACATTACTTACACAATTTTCCTGCTCTTCACTCTGAAAGAGAGGAAGGTAATTATGTGAGCATATGTAGTTTCTAGTGTATTACCATTCTTAGAAAACTTTATTAATTCTTGAAGTTTTCATCTTTCATTTACTGAGAAGCAGTAACCCCAACTACCAGGCCTTTGAGCCAAGGTTAATGGGAATCTAGACTTATTTAAATGTCTTGGACCACTCTCTCATACTTGCAGCAGAAAGCTGATAACCTGTGCTTTTTTTGAGAGAGGAAGATAAGTGATTGAAATTTCATGTGGCCCTGCCTTCCTTCTGTGGGACAGGGAAAGCAGAGTCTGGCAGCTTCCGCTGCGCTGGCTCCCTCGCCTTCTGTACGTGGGGTTAGAGAGCCATGGGGGTCCCTCACTCAGCAGGAGGAGGAGACAGAAACCAGAGGGTGGGTGGCTCAGCAGAGCTCTGGGGGAGAGCGGAGAAGTAGCTGATGAAAAGCGTTTCTCTTCACCCATCGTAATGGCAGGCATCCAGTGGTCCTTTCATTTAACTGTGCATTTCTCCTGGCAAGGGCAGAGTGTGTTTCCCTTACTGAAGTGTATTCCCTTACCCGTGTTTCTCTTGGCTCTAATGGATAATTTTCAGAGAACAGAAAAGAAAAAAGAAATAGTGGAATAAATATTACTGGGAAACACGTAGAAATCAGTTTCTCAAAGTGGAATCTCTGGCAGAAGGGAGATTTGTGAGTAAAAGTGGATTTAAAAATAGTTGAACTGGGAAAATGGTAGACGACTTCTAGTCTGAGAGAACGGTTTTGTTAACAAGAGAATTTCAAGAAAGTTAGTTCATAGCATTTAAAAGAACTTCACTTCTATTTTGTACCTTTAGTCTTATAGATAATTTTTTTAGTATTTTTCTCTAATGAACTTTTAAAAAGTAGATCAGAACAAAGTGATTTTGCATTGTATAATAGTGTTTACCCTCTGCATTTAACTAGATTCATGATTTTTTTAAACAAAAGTCAAATTACTTTTGTTTCAGAAATCCAGCAGGGCTTACATATGGTAAAATGAACTTCTGAGATTCCATCCTTCTTATTAGTATGTCGTTGTTTGAACTTGTATCATCTTTATGGTAGCAGTCACAACTTATCTTGGCTTTTTGCTAAGTAAATTTAATTAGTCTCTTAATGAAAAAATATTACATTTGGATATATGTATCTGTACATATATGCATATATATGGATTCGTATACAAATGTATTTTGAGAACCAAACTAGATCACACAAATAGCATGTATTTTGACTAATTTGGATGGGCATGATCGACTTTGAAATTTTTAGACCTGGAAAGGAATAGATTTATATTGAATACGATATTTTAAAGAAAACAAATTTGGGTTTGCTTCCTCCTTTGTGCTTCAGAGATCTCTTCTGTCGACCTTTCATGCAATCCCAGTTGTTTTTATACTTTCAGTTAATTATTTTTAGTGTGCAAGTTGTAATCCATTGTTGTATTTTAATGCAAAGGAGGAGTTAAGTGCTAAATGGATCATATTGTCTATTAATATTTTACCCATCTCTTAATTTGCTCATATTTTTATGTAAAATACTTTTTTTCTTAAAGAAATATTGCTTCACCAGAAATAACTCTTAATTTTTAAGATATGCTGAATTTTTAAAAAGCCAGAGTGTCCCCAAATGTAGGGCTTGCTGTTAGTGACAGCAGAACTACTCTAAGTGTTATCTGTGGACTGGTGTTTGGTCCACAGGCTGTTTGCTGCTGGTTCACAGTGAGTACAGAAACTGAGGATAAACCTTTATAATATATGGGGTTTCTTTTTTTGGCTGAGGAAGAGTCACCCCAAGCAACATCTGTTGCCAATCTTCCTCTTTTTTCTGCTTGAAGAAGATTAGCCCTGAGCCAACATCTGTGCCAGGCTTCCTCCATTTTGTATGTGGGTCGCCGCCACAGCACGGCCAACAAGCAGTGCAGGTCTGCGCTCAGGACCCGCACCCGAGAACCCAGGCTGCCGGAGTGGAGCACGCTAACCTTAACCACTGGGCCACAGGCCCAGCCTCTGTAAATGTTTATAGTAATCCCACATTGTCACGACATTTAAGAGCCTTTTAAATTGTATTTTATAAAAGTGTAGTTCTGTAAAGAATTAGAAATTAAGAAAAAGAAAAGAAAAAAGATCTTGAAGCGCTGATAGTTTAGGAAGCCTCATTTGCATATACCATCCTTGAGGTAAAGCATACATATCCCAAAAAGCTACGTTTCTGAAGAAGTTGTAAAGATGCAGATGTTTTTTGATGTTATATTGGTGTGAATTATCCTAGCAGAAGTCATCTGTTTCTGAATATTTAATTTTTGTCTTTATAGCATATTGTTTGCAGACGGTGACTGAAGATAACCCCGAGCTACTGAAATCTTTCAGTGCCCCAGCGTTGCATGTGCTGGAATCAGCAATGCTTTCTCCTGTCAATTCCATGGAATACATTCTGTTAAAGACGTTGGTGTCAGGTAAAAATTAGCCATATGTGATAGTATGCTTTTTTAGTAACTTGTAAGGGGTAGAGATGGGGGCCAAAATTCAGACATTCCTTCATTTCACCACATCAGGGCCTCCCATGCTTATGTCTGTTCTGAGAAATTTTAATATTTAAGTGGAGATCTTTAATTCAAGCGGTTGTGCATAGTCGCAAAGCCTTCTAGAATAGATTTGTTTTCAATTTAAAGAACTACTGTTGTCTGAAAAAGAAATGCTATGGTCAGGATCCCCTCTTATTTATGAGGCAGTGAGTTCAAAAATTAACTGTGGGCATCCAAGACATGACCACTCACTTTTCTGTAAGTTCTTTACCTCCAACTCTGTTCTCCTTGGAATTTCTAAATACAGAAATGAGAAAGAATCTGGTGATATCTTGAGTAATGGGCAATTTGTACAGTTTTTTTTGTTTTTGCTGGGAAAGATTCACCCTGAGCTAACATCTGTTGCCAATCTTCCTTTCCTTTTCTTTTTTTAATTTTTATTTTTTTTCTTCCTCCCCAAAGCCCCAGTACATAGTTGTATATTCCAGTTGTAAGTCCTTCTAGTTCTTCTATGTGAGCTGCCGCCACAGCATGGCCACTGACAGACGATGCTGTAGTTCTGCCACCGGGAACCAAACCCCGGCGGCCAAAGCATAGAGCGCCGAACTTGAACCACTAGGCCATCAGGGCTGGCTCTGTACCGTTTCTGTGTATATTTTCCTCTTGGCTTTTGGCCTTGCAGAGGTAATTTATCTCGAGAGGTGGCTTTTTTCAAAGTGATAAAATACACATAACAAAAAATTTACTATCTTAACTATTTTTAAGTGTACAGTTCAGTAGTGTTAAGTTCACTCACATTGTTGTGCAACAAATCTCCAGAACTCTTTTCATTTTGCAAGACTGAAACTCTATACACGTTAAATTACTCCCCATTGTCCCCTACTCCCCATTTTCCCCTCCGCCAGCCCTCAGCAGCCACCATTCTACTTTCTGTCTCTATGAATATGACTATTCTAGGTGCCTCATATAAGTGGAATCATACAGTGTTTCTTCCTATGACTGGCTTATTTCACTTAGCATAATGTCCTCAGAGTTCATCCATGTTGTAGCCTGTGTCAGAATTTCCTTCCTTTTTAAAGCTGAATAATATTCCACTGTATGTATCTACCACATTTTGTTTATCCATTCATCCGTGGATGGACACTTGGGTTGCTTCCACCTGTTGGCTTTTGAATAATGCTGCTGTGAATATGAGTGTACTAAAATCTGAGGTCTTCGTTTCAGTTCTTTTGGGTGTATACCCAGGAAGTGTTTTTATTTTTACAGTCACTTTTTTTTTTTTAATTCATCTAACTACTTACTGGTAACTCCTGTTCTATTTTGATAAGCAAAAAACCAAGAACCTGCTCTCTGGTTTGTTCGTGAGACTTTGGAATTTTAGTACATTCCATCCCACTCTTGGAATATAAGAAGCTGCTTAGGAGAGCAGCTCAGGTTAAGATTAAAGGAAGCAAGGCAACTTAACTTAATTTGTTGTTTTAAAAGAAACTCGATCAGTGTTCTCTTGGTCTGCTGCTGTGTGCCAAGGGAGGGAGACGGTTGTGAAGGACTGTGATAAAGGCAGCTGCCTCTGTGTAAAGCTTTTTCACATTTAATAAAAACGGAACAAAGGCAGTGGGGTTGAGAATGTTTGAAATTATACCTGAGCTTAAAGAATCAATCTTGTGGAAACTGTTTAATAAAAGATTTCACAGGCGATTCCTTTGTCCTTGTGTTCATTTTTTCCAGGCACAGTTTGGAATCTAAAAGACGTTATTCCATCTAAGAGTCAGGCAGAAATCATAAATGCCATTCTCAAGATCTTATCTGAAGTTTTGGAAATGGATGCTGGTGAAACGGTTATTCGAATGAAGGAGGCTGAAACTCAGAAGTTAAAAACTGCTGCAGAGACTGAGGAAATATTAGAAAATGCTAATGGTGATGTTTTGATTGAAGATGATGAAATGGAAGAAATTCCTCATAGAAGAAAAGTCAGAAGGAAAACTTTCATTTCAGATTTACTTCCAGTAAGTCAGATTGATGCTTTCAAACGTCGATTAATACAGCTCTTTTCTTTC